AACAGGAGGAGCACTCATACTTGCAGAAATGGACAGAGAAATTTGGCCCAAACCAATCAATTCAGATGCAGTCAAAATATATTGTGCTTAGACTATTTACATTTACTCATTTGATGTAATTGAACTACGCTTGACCTGATTCCTGTTTAAGAAGGGATACGTAGGCAGCCTTATGGGTTCGGTCATATCATAATAAAGTTTCCATTCCCCCCCCCCCCCAAAGATCAGAAACGGGGGCAGAATTTTGAGGACCCTCAAAATTCCGGAGCAAGTCCAGCCAACCCTAACATATGCCAGACGATCAGAAACCGGTCACTACTAGAAATTGGACCTATTGCAACAGTTATTTTGCAACGGTTTTGAAAACCGTTGCAATAGATGCCTAATTGCAACGGCTATTTGCAACGGTTGTACAACCGTTGATATAGACATTCTATCGTAACGGTTTCTGGCAACGGTTTTTAAAGCGCTGCCATAGATGGTCTATCGTCACGCTAATTTGCTACGGTTAATTAATTAAAGCATAAATTCCTCTACGGCAACGCTTTTCACCCCTTTTTCTTTTTCCATTGTCTTTTCTTTCTTTTTTCTATTTCCGGAAAAGGTCCAAAAATATCCCTAAACTATGTTATATAGCTCAGTTATGTCCTCCGTTAGTAAACTGGGCCAAAAAAGTCCTCCTTGTTAGCACAATGGCCCATTAATACCCTTCAACCTAACGGCTCCTTCCATCAGCATTTAATATCCTACATGGCATCCACATAAGCCATTTAATATCCTACATGGCATCCACATAAGCCATTTAATATCCTACATGGCAGCCACATAAGCGGGCTATTTCATAAACCCGCTTCAGTTCCCATTTCCAAACAAATATCAAAGAAAGGTCGTAAACCCCCATTTCCAAACAATTTCTGGTACTCATTCTTCCATGGCGATTTGTTTGGAGGTGATGATAAAATCGAGCAAGGTGAACTGGACCACAAATTAAAGATCATCGAAAGATATTCAGGTAATTTTCCCTTCTATTTACTGGGTCTTTGTCTCGAACCAACTCAACCCGCTTCAGTTCCCATTTCCCGTCTAGGGTTTTGACATGTTCTGGTATTTTGGACCTTTTTCGTCTAGTGTATAGTGTTTGCATGTGGGGCTGGTACTCTTTTTGTTTGGTATCTTTGTTGTTTTCTTATGTGGTGTCAATTTGTGCCCTAGATGTACTTTGTCTTTGGCTGCAAGTGTCATTTTCACATATTTTATTATAGTGTGGTAGGGTTGGGTTGTTGAAATCGACAGAACCATGTGCATTTCTTCTTAAAGACTGTTTTTTTTCTTGCTTTCCACTGTTGAAATCGACAAAACATGTATAGACCGCGTGCTTTTTCTATTAAAGTGTGTGCTTTATTCTTTTCACTATATTATATGCAATAATCTATTGTATGTTCAATATTTTATTGTCAAAGTTGTTAAATTATTCATGTGGGCCCTCTATGTTTTCTTCTGTGTTTATATTATAGATATTTCAATATGGGGGACCACGAAGAGCCAATTTCAGGTCAATATCAATGTGAATTAGGTACTGATTGTGAATCGGATAGTGATAAAAGTTCAGAGTATGGTTCAGATGCTAGTGAATATGATTTTGAAGAATTAGAGTCACTTATGATGCAAAAGGGTAAAGAGGTTAATGATAAGCTCAGTCACTACAAAGACCTTGATAAGTCTATGACATTTAAGGACCTGGAAGAGGCCAGAAAAGTCATGAACTTCTATGCTATTGGAAATTCCAAACCTTTGAAGCTTAAAAAAAGTGATAAAATAAGAGTAAGGTACAGATGTGTAGTAGGCTGCCCTTTTGAATGCCTCATCTCTGAAGATAAGAAGGGTCCTGGTTTTAAGATGAAAACATTGAAGACAGAGCACAACTGTGAAGATGCATTTGAGAATCCTAGAGCCAAAACAAAAACTTTAGCTGAATATTTCAGGAGTAAGGTGCAGAATAACCCCAAGTACAAGATAAAGGATATGAAACTAGATTTGAAAAATCAATTTTCATTGAATGTACATAACTCCACATTGAAAAGGGCTAAGAGGATGGCACTTCAGCAATTGCAAGGAAGCTTTTTAGATGACTATAACAGATTAGAAGCATATGCAAATGAGATTAGGGAGAGCAATCCCGGTAGTGATGTGGTTATCAATTTATCAAAAGATGCCATGGCTGAAGGTAAAAGGAGATTTCTTAGAATGTACATATGCTTCAATGCAATGAAGTTGGGGTTCAAACAAGGGTTGAGACCATTCATTGGACTAGATGGGACTTTCTTAAAGGGTCATTGCAAAGGGCAATTATTGGTGGCTGTTGCACAAGATTGTCAGAATCATTTCTATCCCTTGGCTTGGGCTGTAGTTGGTAAGGAAAACACCTTGACATGGACATGGTTTCTGGATCTGCTGAAGCACTCATTGAATCTGAAAGATGGAACCAGTATTACCTTTATGTCTGATATGCAAAAGGTACAACTTATGATTTTGTTTAACTGACTACTCCCGTTATTTTTAAGTTATTATATAGTTAATTCTGTTTAAATTTACATGTGCAAGGTCTGTTGGAAGCAGTAAGAACTGTCCTCCCTCTCTCAAATCATAGGTTTTGTGTGAGGCATATTGAAGCCAACTGGAGTAAGAGGATCAGAATTTCAGGAAAGATGAAGAAATACCTATGGTGGTCTGCTTGGAGCACTTATGAGGAGGACTTTAAAGATCAACTAAAGAATCTTGGTGAATTGTCTGTTGATGCTGCCAAGGAGTTGCTTAGGTATCCACCACAGAATTGGTGTAGGTCCTACTTTGATACATTGTGCAAAAATCAGATGGTAGACAATAATTTTACAGAGTCCTTCAACTCTTGGATCTTAGAAGCAAGAGGCAAGCCTATTCTGAAGATGCTTGAGGATATTAGAATCAAGGTCATGAACAGGTTGAGAGAGAAGGAAGAAGAAGCTAGAACATGGGGAGGTGAGTTTAGTCCTAACTGCATGAAGTTGTATGCTGCTTATTTGAAGATAGCCAACTTATGTACTGTTCATTTCAATGATGAAACTGGTTATGAGGTTTCTGAGGGTGGTGATAGACATACAGTGAACCTAGTGGAGAAAAAATGCACTTGTAGATCCTGGCAGTTGACTGGCATCCCATGCCCTCATACCATCAGGGCACTAAAATACAAGAAAGAGGATCCAATGACTGAAATTAGTTGGTGGCACAGCAAGGAAGCTTACCTGATGACATATAGGGCTAAGTTGATGCCTGTTAGAGGTGAAAAGTTCTGGAAAGTTTTATCAGAACATGCTATGGACCCTCCTCCACTTGCCAAAACTGTTGGAAGACCAAAAGTCAAAAGAAATAGGGAGAAAGATGAGGCTAACAAGAGACAAGGAGATTGGGCTGCATCAAGAAGGGGAACTAGAATGACATGCAGCACTTGTGGTGAACTGGACCACAATTCAAAGACATGCAAGGTACTTGCTTCTTAACTTATTATCTTTCTTCTTATATAATTGTAGTTATTCTTAATTTAATAGAAAGTTTTTCTTTTTACTAGGTTGGTGGTGAAGGAAATGTTGAGGATGTTAGTTGTTCAGCCCCTCAACCAACTCAACCAACACAAGAAGGTGAACGTGAAAGTGAATTTGTGTTCATGCCTACACCAAGAGTACCAATACAACAAGTAGAACCCTTTAGTGATGATAGTGAGCATGAAACTGACCCTGCTTTAATGCCTAAGATTATTTCTGAAGATCAAACACGACTACTGATGAGGCAGCAACAATTGGCCTCAGCAGGGACAAGAGTCATCTCTTTCAAAGGAGATCATACTGGTGTCAGTTATCCCGTTGATCTTCCTTACTCACCTACTAGGCTCACTTGGAAAGGCAAAGAAGCTGTGACGGGAAATCAATTGGAAGTGGCAAGACAAAAGAAAGTCGGGAAGTTGAAGTGTAGGAAACTCAATGGGAACTTACAAATCTAGGAATCTTGGTTATTATATGTAGTTGCAAATCTGTAAACTAACAGAAGCCTTTTGTTTTGATGTTTTGTTTGGTACAGCAGTGCTGTTTGGTTTATGTTTAGTTGCAAATATTACAGCAGTGCTGTTTGGTTTAGTAGTTGTTTTGTAAACATGTTTTGATGGCTGGACAGTGTTGTTTTGTATCAACAGTAAACTAAAATTTTGATGCAGTGTTGTTTTTGTTAGCAGCAGTAAATTAAGATTACATCAGTGCTGTTTATTTTGATATTTTGCTGGACAGTGGGTTGATGTGTATTGCATATGGTCGAGACTTAGTTTGCTGGACAGTGTTAGTTTGCGCAGCAGTGTTGGTCGAGACTTAGTCATATTTGGTAGACTAGAGTATTTGCCTACTGTTGCGGGAAATAGATGCATCCAATCCTAAGCAACTTCTGCTGTGTCACAATCTCTACTATAAGATCAAGGCACCAGCTTAAATACAACAAATGTGTAACAGTACCTCTTCAGTGCAAGCATAAAGCTGCATATGATTGTGGCTGGCGTATGCTAATTCAAATTGCATTTGAACCTTGTGGTCTCATTAAGTCAAAATGGGTTTCTATTTTACTCCTATTTTTATGTCAAAAATGATTCCTTCAAAGCTCCATAAAAGGAGGTGAATTCAGATGGCATTGCTCATCTAGTTTGTTGCTGCGATAACATGTATTGAGCAGCATTATGTCATTTTCAATCATTTATGTCATTTTCATATGACTTTCTCGACCAGCAACACATGTGGAATATATAACCACCTCTTTTTAAGAAGAAGACCAAGAGAACATACCAAAATCAATAATAATTGCACCAAAATTAAAGACAACACCATAGATTAACTTCATCATATTACAGACTACTAAACATACATAGTTTAATTTCATCACCCCTATAACTAAACCAAAATACTACAAAAATACATTAAAACAACATACATTCACTTCATCATCCCTACGACAACCAAAGCAAATAATAAAGCCCATAAAACCAAAAAATGATATTTCTCATCTTCTTCACTTTGACCTCTAACTTACTAGCTTTTTCAGCTTTCACAAGTTGAAATTGCTCCATTTCGTCAAGCTTCGTCTTCAAAGTATGCCTTTCAACCATCGTAACATCTTCCATTTCATCAAACAAGTTCTTAGATCCCCTTTGAACCATCGTAGCTTGTTCCATAAGGTAAACTTTATTCCTCAAATTGTTCCTCTCAACCTTAGCAGCATCAAGTTTAGTTTTTAAATCTTTGATCACCATCACCGCTCGACGAGGGAGCTCTTCGTCAATCCATTTAAAATACCCGCAAGAACTAACCTACACCATTATTAGAAATTACAGCAGTTCTGATTTTGTACAAAAACAATAAAAATCAAGAACGACCTAACTCGACAAAAGAAGATGAATCCCATAAATCGACCAAAATAAAATAAATTCAAAACTAACCTTGGATCTTGGACATTTGTAGAACCTTCTCCCAGCATTGGCATCTGACCAAGCTGTCAAATATAGCGCAATCAATCCGCAATGACACCTTCTTGCATATTGAATTTCATGCGCATTCACAGATAAGTCAGACATTGAGCAGAAATGTGGAAATTTGAGCAGAAATTGGAGCAGAAATGTGAAAATTTGAGCAGAAATTGGAGCAGAAATGTGAAATTTGATCTTCAATTTGTGTTGTTAAACCTTGCTCGATTTTGTCATCCTCTCACCTCTCAAATCGCCATGGAAGGAGAGGAACTTAGGTTTTTGTTTGAAAATGGGGTCTTCTGCCTACGCGTTTTTGTTTTGGAGTCCGCTTATTTGGAACTGGAGCGGGTTTATGAAATAGCCCGCTTATGTGGCTGCCATGCCATCGCTTATGTGTATGCCACATAGGATATTAAATACTGATGGAAGGAGCCGTTAGGTTGAAGGGTATTAATGGGCCATTGTGCTAACGGGAAGAACTATTTTGGCCCAGTTTACTAACAGAGGGCATAACTGAGCTATATACCATAGTTTAGGGATATTTTTGGACCTTTTCCGTTCTTTTTCCCTTTCTTTTCCTTTAATTAATCTTTTCTCATCCACTATCCGCACCAAAATTGACCCCCATCTCCTACTCTGTTCTCTCTCTCTCGCGCGCGACTTTGCTTCCGCTGCTTCGCCGTAGATGCTAAGAGAGACTTTCAAGTCCAAAACTCAATATGCTATGGGGGAACTGCAATACTGAGAATCGCTTCCTAATGACCATCCAGAGATTGCAGATTTGTACCAGCTCTAGCTTCGGCATCAACCATCTCTTAAACACGAATAGTTTGTCGCTTTCTCCATTTTCAGGTCCTTTTTTCTTGTCCTATTCTTTTCCAACTAGTTCAATTAAGTATTTTTTAGGGTTTTCTGTTTTTCGTTTATGTTCTTATAAGCTAGGGCTTTTTCGGATTCATTTGGTTTCTAATTTTGGGCATGGGTGTATTTTCTAGCTTTGATGAAATTTTATCTTGGGGAGAATGCTTAATTTTGTAGTTGAAGAGCCTGTATTCTCCTGATATTAATCATATGTGATATTTTTGCACATTCGTTTGAATATCTATTACTAATATCATTGAGTATAATTCTCTTTTTCTTTTCAACTCCAATCTAGAGTTCAGGACCTATTAATATCTTAGACTGAAATATATTTATATCATCCTTATTTGGTGCGATGTTCCTGTAAATAGGTAGAAAATTGGAGTTTCCTTTTAGCCTAGAATGCTGAACTAAAAGAGTTACTCTGACCAATCATTAATAATATTATTATAGAAATCCAATTAACAAACTTGCATAGAAGCTTGCACTGATTGCTTCATCAAGTTTTTGTTTTCCCTTCTTTTAGCTATTTACATTGTGAGTTTACTTTTTTGTTCTCTTTATTTTCTTCTTGGGATTTTCTATTGGAATAAATTACTATATTGGCATAAAGTTATTTGATGCTTGTTAGTACTATGCTTAAAGCGTTCTCTTGAATTTAGTACTGAAATATTCAGCTTGAAAGAGTAAATCTCAAATTACACTTGTCTTGGAAGGATATGAGAATAGATGTCAGTTGGTGTTGTGTGTTCATCTAGGATGTAATGATTGTACACACTTAGTTGAGATTATCGAGCAGAAAATATCAGATAATTTTGTGTGTGCTGATAGTTGCGACCCTTGGCTTAAGCTCATTATTTGGGTAAGTTCAACATTTGGCTAAGTATCCTCTATTAAATTATATTTGTTAGCTAAATATTTCTTGTCAAAAGACAAGAAGATTGAAACATGACATTTGGTTCATTTTATACATTTTAATAGCCCTCTCTTAATTCTCTGTTGTGGATACAAGAAAATGAAACAGTTACCGAAAAGGTTCCCTTTTCCAACTCTTTTCTAAGCTAAGTTACTTAAAAAGGTTGGATAGCTTTCACTTTAATATAATTAGTGGGCTCTGATTTTACTTATAGTTTTTTATGTGTCTGTCACTCTTCTGCCTAATGTCACTAGAAATTTTTAATTTAATCACTATATTTCCATTTTGTTAGGTTTGCATTTGGATTTATCTCCTTGGAACAACTTATTTTATTGTGATATTTATGGCTTTCTTGAAGGTATATCCATTTGTTTATCTGCTTGTCCTTTTATAATTTTTGTTTACTTACACATGCTTGAAAACAGAGATAGTAACCATTGTGCAATGTGATTTTTCATCCATCAAACATCTATGAAAGTGATAAAATTAGCTAAATCATCGTCTTGCTTTACATCTTGATGTATTTGGTTCTATTGTTATGTTCCTTTCTGTCAACTTCTACTACAGAACATTTTCTTCTAAGCTACAATGTTCATCTCTGTTTTGGACTTTACCTAAAAATCTTAATATTCTTCTTTATCATGGTTGAGTTAGGAAAGAGTAGCTGATATATTTACAGTGGCATTTCCAAATTCTCCAAGCCTTTTCTTTTGGTGCAGGGCTTAGTAGACATATTCTTCTTGGCTCTTGGTGTGCATATATCATTTTAAAGAGATATACTTGAACACTACCAAATATGTTTCTCATTATATATGCTCTCTTTATCAATTAGTTTTTTTTTTCCAAAAGGGTGTGAGTGAAAAAACTTATTCTCTTTTTTTCGAATTAAACTTCAACTACTATCATTAATATACTTTTTCGCTTTTTCTTGCCAACTATAAATGTACTCTGTTACTCTTAAATATGTGTTTGGGTGTATTGGACACTATATTTTCTCTTATCTACCAAATATGATACACATATACAAGTACTTGCCTTTTTGAGTGCCATATTTTTCTCTTTCAATGGATATTGATATATTTGGTTGGTTAGTAGGTTTATGTGTGATCTATAATTTTAGTTTGGTACTATCACTTAGTAACAAAGCCTCGTTAAAAGCTACATTTCTAGTTTCATCCCTTAGAGGTATTTGAACCGACCTAACTCTATTTCTCAATATAGTAGTTTAGATATTTCTGGGATGAATTGGTGTAGTGGTACTTTTCCAACACGAGAAACCAGAGATAGGGTGATAAAATATTCTTTACTAGTAAATGATAGTTTTAACTTTCTGCAGAATTTATGTTAGCATAGTATTTAGAGTTTTTATATTTTATTATTTGGTGTACTTACAACATCAATTAATGGATGGATCCTAAAAATGTTTGGCATGTAATGTTTCCTGTGAAGAGCTGAAAGAAGTAAAAGTTTTTGGCTTAATATTGCTTGTGAATATATTTTTCTGTGAAACTTTTACTGAATCATTAATTTGTAATTTTTTGTAGGTGAAGCAAGTGAAGAAAGGTAGACAGTAACAATGAAGAACTTGATGGTATTGGGTGATCATTGCTACAGTTTCAAATGTTCTAGGAATCATTTATTTGGTAGAACTTATTGAAAACTTATGTATGCCAAACACTATTGTATATTTTATTTTTATATATGGATAATACAAGTTATATTTTGGATTATGATTTTAGTGATGAAGAGTTTCATTTGTGATTATGCAAATCTCTATGTATTATATTTTATTATATATGTAAATATTTATTCACAATCAAATAAAAGGGTAAAATCTCACACTATTAAGCTGTTGCAGTAGGTTCCAGAAACCGTTCTAATAGCATTAACAATTTGTTGCAGTAGTCTTAATAACCGTTGCAATAGCTAGTATTAGCCGTTGCAATATATCATCTAAATCATTACTTCAGCATCAAAACCGTTGCAACAAGTAGTATTTCAACGGTTCTGAACCGACCCAGTAGACGAAATAACCGTTGCAATATTTAAGCCTATGGTAACAGTCCAAAACTGTTGCCATAGAAGTAATATTGCAACTGTTTCAGAACCGTTACAGTAAACCGTTGCAGCAGACCTATTGGCACGCGACCTGGTGGAACGGTTCTCAAATCGTTACAATAGTCCTATCGCAACGGATTTGCTATCTATGGCAACGAATTTGCAACCGTTGCAATAGCTCTATTTTCTTGTAGTGGGTTAAGAAACTGGGGCAGAATTTTGAGAAGGATTCTCAAAATTCCGAAGAAGGTTCAACAAGACTCGTTACTCGCAAGCGGCCGAAGGATCATCTACCAAACTAGGGCAGAATTTTGAGGAGGACCCTGAAAATTCTAACATAAGAAGGCTGCAGTTTCTCTGAAATGTGTTACAGTCACTAGTTCATCTAAATCACTTGATATTTCAATATGTTTCTAAATAACTCTATTTTTATCAATAATTGCATATTTTCGAAAACTCTATTTCCGTAACAGTCAGGTTACCCAGGAAAACTCGAAAGGCCTCCAGAACGAAGCAAAGCGAGGCCAACGGATAAAAGCACGAACCAACCTCCCCCTCACAAAACTTATAATTTTTCTTTGAACGCAGGTACATCTGACGTAGCAATAGCGTCCGCAAAAATATACACGTAACAAGATCACTATCAATCAGTCCATAAGATACCGAATATATCTCCAGCTAAGACATATGCTACTCGCTTTTTGCATGGGATTAAGCCTTGTCCCCCATATTTGCATGAGGCTAATCCTTGCCTCCATATTTGCATGAGGCTACTCCGTGCCTCCACACCTGCATGAGGCTAATCCCTGCCTTCCCACTTGCATGAGGCTAATCCCTGCCTCCCTATCTGCATGAGGCTAATCCTTGCTTCCCCACTTGCATGAGGCTAATCCCAGCCTCCCTATCTGCATGAGGTTAATCCTTGCCTCCCCACTTGCATGAGGCTAATCCCCGCCTCCCTATATGCATGAGGCTAATCCTTGCCTCCCCATATTTGCATGAGGCTAATCCCTGCCTCCCTATTTGCATGAGGCTAATCCCTGCCTCCACACCTGCCTGAGGCTAATCCCTGCCTCCCTATTTGCATGAGGCTAATCCCTGCCTCCACACCTGCATGAGGCTAATCCCTGCCTCCCCACTTGCATGAGGCTAATCCCTGCCTCCCTATCTACATGAGGCTAATCCTTGCCTTCCCATTTGCATGAGGCTAATCCCTGCCTCCCTATCTGCATGAGGCTAATCCTTGCCTCCCCATTTGCATGAGGCTAATCCCTGCCTCCCTATCTGCATGAGGCTAATCCTTGCTTCCCCATTTGCACAAGGCTAATCCCTACCTCCCTATCTACATGAGGCTAATCCTTGCCTCTCCATTTGCATGAGGCCAATCCCTGCCTCCCTATCTGCATGAGGCTAGTCCTTGCCTCACCATTTGCATGAGGCTAATCCCTGCCTCCCTAACTGCATGAGGCTAATCCTTGCCTCCCTATTTGCATGAGGCTAATCCATGCCTCCGCATTTTCATGGGACAAAGCACTGTCCTTCCTCGCATGAATATCGCTCTATTCCGGCACTATCTATTTGCTTTTCAATCGGGCTAAGCTCAGCCCTTCATTTTACAAGACTAAGCCTTGTCTTGTTAACATCATATTACTGCACCTCATGGGCTGAAATACCGCCAATCCAAAGGCGTCATAGTCTAAAAGGCATCATCCTCATAGCCGGAAGATACCATGCCATGGCCTGAGGATCTTTCAAATTTGCATATCATTATTCAAAGGCGTCATGGTTTGGAGGCACCATCTGCATGGCCCGAGAACACCATTTCATGGCCTGCAATTCCCTCACTAAACAATTCATGGCCCAAGACATCATGGTCCGAGGACGTCATCCTTAATCGTCCAAAGACAACTTTCATGGTCCAAAGGGAATCTGCATCATGTTTAAATTTCCGCACAAATCTATGTCTGTAGCATCTCTTTATCTGCAGGTGACAAACAAGAAACCGCTATCCTAGCAGGAGCGACCTCGCTCCAGTTCCTTCAAACTATCTCAAGCTTAACCGTTCACCATAACTGCTCTCACATCTCGTGTTCGTTCTTGCAATAACTTCATCGGTATATTCCGCCAATGAATCCAGAACTACACATGGCCTGATTCCTGTAAAACCAGGGATATATAGGCAAATTAAAGACCAAAGTCCGGCCTCTATCTTTCAAAACATCCCATTCGGTCAAAATTGGCCATCATTTCTTTACCCGAAAACTCTTTCATCCTTCCCGAGTAAAGAGGGGCAATTGTTGATACTGTTGATACCCAATTTTTCCTCATAAATTTTTTAAACATATATATATATATATATATATAAGCATGCATAAGTATTTTTATAATTTTTCTATAGTTTTAAAAGCTCCAAATCAATTTATTTCTTCTCCTTTTATTATATAAATATCCAATAATTATCCTTCCTACTACTTTTATGATGATTTAGCCATCTAAATTCATTATTTATGCCAACATAACGTTTGAATATTTTTAGTGCATTTTTGTAATTACATTTATATTTTTTAAGCTAAATTGCACATCTTTGCAATAATAGCCCTTACTAATGTATAATTACATTATTCATGCATAAAATGATCTTTAATATTTTTAAAATGTTAAATAAATATTTTAAATCATATTAGTGCACAAATATTTTTTTTGGTACTCATTTATTATTTTTTATAAATTATTTAGTCATTAAAATTAGCTATTTAAAATCTGGCCCTATTTTCTATTTCAATTCTGATCCAAATTTGACCCAATACCCAGCCCAATTTTAACCTAAGCCTACCCAGCCCAAACATTAATGCTCGACCCAGCCCCAATCTCATTCAATCTCGGTCGTTGATCATAGAGATCAACGGCCACAATTAACCCCTTCCTTTTTTAGTTCCAAACGACCCCCCAAACCCTCTCATTTATCACCAACCGCCGCCCTGAAACCCCTTTCCTCCCCAAAAGCTCTCAAGCTCTAACCCTAATTTACCCACATCGCCGGTCATCTGCTGCCTTTCATGGTGTTTCCCCACCACCACCAGGCCTCTAATGGCCTCTCGTACGTTGGTATCGCCATTTCTAAGGTCCTCAAGGGACCAGGATCAGTCCGCTTGCATCTATTCTCACCTGTTTCAGGCTGTTTCGGTTTGATTCCGAGTAAGATCTTCCTATATCGTTCTAGATCTATGGGTTTCTAAGCGTGCTTCTTCACTTCTGTGTTGTTCTTCTCGAAACCCTAATTTCTTCCTTTTGAACTTCTTAGATCTGTACAGATCTGAGATGGTTTCCACCTATTTCATACGAGTTTTACAAGAACCTTTTAATTTTTTACAAGAACCGTCTGAGTTTCGTATAATTTTTTATTTTTTCTAAACTAGGGTTTCCGGAAATTTCTTTTTCCAAAACATTTGATAATTTTGAGTGTTTAATCTTCTGTTTCCTATATGTTTTAACCGATTTTGTTAGGTTTGCTCTAACCTTAACCTGTTTATACTAAAAGCCCTAATTTTTTCGAAATTCTTTATTTGGTTTCTGAGTACTTGTGTACTGACTTTGTTCTTGCTTTAGTTCTTGTGATTTTTTCTTTAGCCATTTAGATGTCTCGTGATTTTCTTATCCTAATATGCCTCTACTAAGTTTCTTGATTCAACTTCTCTACTGATTCTATATGTCTATGTTCATTCTTACTATTTATGGTAATACTGTATTTTTTCTCCTTAAATCAAGGTTGTTTGGAATTTTTGATTTACCAATTTGCTTCGTTAAAACCTACGTGTTGAATCTGGACTATTCCTTTCTTGCCTATTTGAATTGTCTGTGATATTTGCAGGCCCTTTACGTGATTTTCTCTTAAACCCTTGATTATTCTGAAGCTCTTATTTTTGGTTTGATTTGAACTCTTTTCCTTAACAAAGCATTTGATTCTTACTGCCCTACTCGGTTTGATTGAACCTCTTGCCTTAATTAGCTTTCTCTTGCCTTATTTGTTATTTGTTGATTCTTGCCAATTGTTTCCTTAACTGAACTCATGTTCATTCACCCCTAATTACCTACTCTATACCCAAGTCTTATTTGATTCCCTTCCTTAAATACATGTCCTGCTTTTACCGTTGATTGATTATTCCTTGATTAAGGGGAATACATACTGATTTTATGTGTGTAATTGATTCTGTAAATTTCCTTAATATGGCTACATGATTCATTCTTTACCTTATTTTGTTTAACTCTTGACTACTATATATACCTTTACCTATTCTCACTTCTGGAGACGAACACTAGTTCCTCCATACTCTGACACTCTCAAAAGCTCTATATTCTCTTCTGTTACTTGCAATTGTCACTAACCCAGCCGGCTATAAGCCAAGGTTGGATATTTGCACCATCTCTGCTATATACCTTGTATTCTCTCCTTAACTGGTATGTCCTGATTCAATTCAAATCCCAAAACTATGTGTTTCTTTGTTGTTTCAGTTCATTAGTTGTGGCTTTCAGTCCTGTGTATTATTTTACAATCATGTTGCTCAATGTATAACAACATGCTTAGATTACACTGCCTGATTACTGTATCACTCAGCATGCTTAAGTTTGTTCTGTTAAAAGCTGTAATTTGTATATTGCTTAGCATGCCCCAATCCTGCTTTAGATAATTGCATGAACCCTGTTTG